CCAGGAACATTCCGTTTGCATCGGTTTTCGCTTCATTTTTGGCATGGTACCTCTGTTTATCACCAGGTTTAAGTGTCACTGATAGTCGCAAGGGCTGGTGTGTAGGCCATGCCAATTGTTGGCAAGCAGTCCAGTTATCTCTCCTCCGGAGCCTCCCGGCCGCCCGTTTTTTCCAACTTCCGGTAGCTAATGTTGAATACCTTGTGACTGCCTAATTTGTCAATTTTGCAACCACATATCTGTTGATCTACACACTGGTTTGCAGGCACTAAAAGTTTGGGTGCCGGCCTATTAAGGTCACCTGAACCCTTTTGACACTTTCTTACCGGTGCTAATGTTGAACCCCTTTGCTACCTTTTTCCGTCGACTTTCACCACATATCTGTGCATATACACACTCTGAGATGGCCCTTAAAATTCATGGGCGGCCATATACTCTAGTTCAACTTGAACCTTTTGAACCCCTCTTTCCGATGCCCTAATGTTGAACCCTTGGTGCCCACTTCTCTGACTTTTAACCACATGGTTGTGTTGTACACACATAGGGTACCTCTCAGTATTCTTGCCGGCCAGAAAATCACCTTGACCCTTTTGGACCCCGCCGGCCGGCTGGAGGTGGCCGCGTGCCCGCCCCACCCAACAAAAGTATGGGCCGGCCGTGTTCTCTCACTGTGCACCCTTTTAACAGCTGTGATGGCAATATCCCCCTAGATATTTCTGTAATCCGGGGATATTTTGTGGGGGAGTTTTACCACTCCTTTTCCACCCACCTTTTACACAAACCCCTTTTTGCATCCATATAACCAGCTGGTGGTCCTTCTTCATTTTGGGTTAGAAAATTTACTCTTCAAGCTCCATACCATCTAACCCATCTTCTTCCTTCCAATTCTTCAAAAAACCCTAAGTCCCTATACCTCCATTCCTACAACACCAAGCTCTACACCACCATCTTCATTTCCAGCAACAGGAAGGGTTCTTGAAGGCTAAAGAAAGCTGCAAATCATCCAAGAAGCAACAAAAGTTCGAGATCTTCAAGGGTAAGTTACACTTTTGATCCTTTTGACCCTTTTTCTTGATCTATTTCTAAGCCTCATTTCTTTTGACCACCCCCACCACCACCACCACTACTGTCGCCGCCGCCACCACCAACCCCCACCAATTTCCACCACCCATTGCGCTCTAACCAAGCAAGGCCACCGCTTTCTCTCCTCCCTCGCCACCACCACCGACGATCCATCACACTCCAATCGCTTAATCCGTAAATTCGTACTCTCCTCTTCCAAATCCATAGCTCTCAATGCCCTCTCCCATCTCCTCTCCCCCCACACTCCTCACCCCCACCTCTCCTCTCTCGCTCTCCCCGTAAGTCTCTCTCTCTCTCTCTCTCTCTCTCTCTAAAATACTTACAGTTACTCTCTTGACATTGCTGTTGTAGTTGTATTCGAGGATCAGCGAAGCTTCATGGTTCAATTGGAACCCCAAGATAGTAGCAGACCTTGTCGCTGTGCTTGATAAATAGGGACAAGAAGACAAAGTACAGTCATTGATTTCCAAGACCGTTTCCAAATTAGGGTTTCGAGAACGCGACCTGGCTCTTTTCTACAGCAATTTGATTGATTCTTATTCTAATCACAAACCAAAACTAGGTTTTTTTGATTCCTACGCACGTTTGAAGGAGTTGGTGTATCCTCCATCCTCTGTTTATGTAAAACGTCGTGCATTTGAATCGATGACAGTGGCTTGTGAGCTATGGATCTACCTCATGAAGTTGAGAATGTGATGGAAGAGATGAGAGATTTAGTAGTGAAATCATCTGTGTTCGAGTTCAGATCTGTGATATACGCGTATGGAAGATTAGGCTTGTTCGATGATATGAAGAGATGTGTGGTTCAAATGGAGATTGAAGGTTTCAAATTAGATACAGTTTGTTCAAATATGGTTCTCTCATCTTTTGGAGCTCACGGTGAGCTCCCGGAGATGGTTTTGTGGCTCCAAAGAATGAAATCTTCAGGTGTTTCGTTTTCAATTCGAACATATAACTCGGTGTTGAATTCTTGCCCAACAATCATGACAATGCTTCAAGAACTCAAAACTGTTCCCATTTCAATCCAAGAGCCAATGGAGAATTTGCGCGGCGATGAAGGTTTGTTGGTTCAAGAGTTAATTGGATCATCAGTTTTGGAGAAAGCAATGGAATGGAGTTCATTGGAGGGGAAGTTAGATTTGCATGGAATGCACTTTGGATTGACCTGTTTGATTATGTTACAGTGGGCAGAGAAGCTGCGGTTAAGGTTCCGAGACTAGAATCAGGTGGTTCTGACAGAGATTCGAGTGGTTTGTGGGTCAAGAAAGCATAGCCAATGAAAGGTCTGGTTAAACAGATGATCGTTTGGATTAGGCCAAGTTTGGGAAGACTAAATAAGTGCACTTTTTGTCTTTTTTGACTAAAAAATTGAGATTGAAAATATGGATGTTTGGGTTAACTTTTTGACTTTTTATGGAAAAATGTGTAATAAAAAATTGTAAAAATTGGTTTGTAGAGGAAAATTTGAATTGGGAGTTGTGCAGCCGTAATTGTTGACTTTTGGTGAATAATGTTAACTTTTTAACTTTTTGAGTAACTTTTTGACTTTTTGACTTATTTGGGACTTCCCAAACTTAGCCTAAATGTCTGATGAGAATTGACTGGAACAATGTGGGATGTTTTGTTCCCAAAGGAAAAATGTTGAAAGACTAGTTAGGTTGATCATATCACAAGTTATAGCTCTTGAGAAATTTCAAATGTTCTCAGTATTATTTGCTGATGAATTAAAATCGAGTTTTGGGCATGAAGTACATATCTGCAATATCATGTAGAATTGAAATGCCAACCTCAGTACATGCGAACCTACAAGTGAAAATATTATATTGTGGTCCAAGACATACGTGGATTTGTTCATGACCAATTACAATTTATCATGTCTTTTCATATTTTTTTAATCACTCAACACAAAATTACAAATCTTGTCATCTCCATCAATCACAACTCACATGGGAGCATCGTGCGGCTCTGCCCAAGACTACCAAATAACTTATCTTACAACAGTGATTCGTATTATTTAGTATTATTGAATCAATTTAATATTTTTCATGAATAATACATATAGAGAATTTTACAAAGTAAATAATTTAAATCATCAAAGCAAGACATGTAGTGGGTCTAATAGGCCTGAACAGTTCTTTTAAACTTAAATTTGAACTTAAACCCAAACTATAATATATTATAGCATCTCTCATTTTTATGAGTACCGTTATTCTTAAAGTTACAAAATTATTTTGCCTCTCGCCCCTACCATCTCTCCCGTCATCTTCCAGATTTACCTTGACCCTAATATAGCATGAGGCAAGGATGGGGCATTACAATGCCCGTCTCACCACTACTCCTTACCATCCTCTACCTTTCTCATTTTCTTCATCTTTCTATAGGGATTTAGATAGTGGGAATGATGAGGCTTTGAAGTAAGGAATGATGAAGGGACTATGGAGTAGCAAGGCAAGAGGATGCGGTACAATAGGAGGGATGAGATTATGGATGAGGTAGGGAATAGGTAATAGTAGTGCGTGTTGAGAATGTGTGGCAATGAATGGAGTTACGATGGAGTATAATGGCGTTGTTGGTAGTGGTATTACGCCTCAAAATAATAACGACAGCTCACTTCATGATATTCAATAGAAAAGTATAATCTTGCGAACTGTTTAACATTTCATTGATATTCCTTAACTGTACAAAAGATGTCTTATGTGTATATACATTCATAAATCCTAGATCCTAAATCTATAACACATGACATGTGTAAATGAATTAGAATGAAAGGAAGTACAAATAAGTTTATGCCATATTGGTTACATCTTTCCAAGTCAATACTTGGGTACAACAAAATTTAGTTTAACTCAATATATAGAAAGCCCAAGGCTTGTACAAAATAATTATAAATAAAAAAATAAAAAAAAAAAAAACACAAAAGAAGCTCTCGGCTCTAAGTCCTCCCAAGCTACGCCCTTGGTGGAGGTATATCATCAACACCTGAAAGTTGTTTTCCACGTAAGGTGAGCTAAAGCCCAGTAGCGATACTTGAACAAATATATGAAGCTTAACAATGTCATAATATGTAAGCATATGCATGCCATTTACCAAACATTATACTTTCCCTTTTAAAATAATTCAATGCCATTAACATATATATATATATCCATTCATGAAAACAATACTTTCAAATCATAAAACAGAGCAGTAGATACAAAACACTGAGAATCTCTAGGTATGTGTCTGCCAATAGGCTATACAAGCATTACCAAAGCCATTTGATCGGTACTAACTGGAAGGATTTGCACCTAATCGCGCGAATTTCTGGACTTTCACCAACGACACACATGCTAATATAATAAACTACAACCATACCCTCTAACCAGATTCACCAAGATATATACCTATTTTTTTCTCAAAACAATACATTTTCAATGCTTAAGTATGAAACAATGCTCAATGCTCAATGCAAGATGTATGAGTAATTAGTTTCAATTAACCTAATCTTTATGTAATTTCTACAACACTCAATGATATCCTCCACCGATAGCCCAAAACAAATATCTCTACTCAACAGATAGTTTTCCAACAACAGATATAATCTCATAAATTTCAATATATGAGCGATAATATATATATTCAACTCCACTCTCATCACCAACAGATACATTTATCTTATCTTTTCAAATCCAACATCTTTCCATTTTCTTTCATAAATCAAACATCAATAATTTTCCAATAAAACATCCTTAACTTTGAAAAATCACATTTTTCGTAAGAAATTTTCAACATTTCAACACAACCCAATAATATTCACACCCCGATAACCTTTCTCAAGAATCCATTTGAAAAATCCCTCTTTTACATTTCAAAATTGAACCCTAGATTTAAACCCAAAATCCACAAATCACACCCTCTTTAAAGAGCAAATAACTAAGCAAAGAAATTTACAAATGTTGAAGAAATCCCTACTCAAGAATAAAAGAGGAAGAGAGCAAGAATAAAAGTTTGACGGAGCTGAAAACAAGATCTTCTCCAATTAAAACAAAGCTTTCAAAGAGCTCTACCTTTTCTCCATGGAACTATGGTGGAGAAATCATGGATATGGGTGTATCTGACGTATTTAGGCAAGAACAACAGAGAGAGTGAAGAAATTAGATTTAGAAGCATTTTAGAGAGAGAGAGAGAGAAATGAAAAAGTGACTGAAAAAGGCTTTCCATTGATCTAATATACACATAGACTGTTTGAACGACCAAACCATCGCTCCAGTGTCAAACATAATAAGTAACACTGCTCAAGCTGCCAAAACACCGTTCGAGCACACATTGACCTCCTCCCAGAAGTTCAGACGTAAAAAAGACTGCTCAAGTGAAGAAAAGACCGCTCAAGCGAAGATCACCCAACTCCCAGAAATTCTATAGACCTGTAAAAATACTAGGAGATCTCAAAGATTGCTAGAGTGACCAAAGCACCGCTCAAGCAAACAAGAAATGAAATAGATAGCAACTCTTTTGAAAAGCTAAGTGCTTACATGTTTCAAACATTATCAACAACTCCAACCAACCAAACTCAACTAACCACAAGATGAAAAAAGGGTATTAACAACAATTAAAGATATGAAATTCCGGGTCTAAGAACCTGAAAGGATCAGGTCTAACCCAAGCCGTTATAAGCTTCCCCCCTTAAGAAATTTCGTCCCCAAAATTTAAATTGAAACAATAATCACCACAACTCACTTCGAATGACAAGCCAAACTAGTAACAATGGTAAAAATCATGCTCCTTACCACAAAATGCTACAACTTGAGCCGTCAAAATATTTACAATGTTTACATATTACAACATAAATGAAATTTTAATGCAAAACTTAAACACCAACAAACAGGTTTGGATACTTCTCACGGACCTCCGCCTCATGCTCCCCAGTCGCCTTCTCGATTTCATGGTGTCGCCACAACACCTTAACTAATGGGATAGTTTTACCCCGCCAAACTTGATCCCTTGTGTCTAAAACCTAAACCGGTCTCTCCTCATACAAGGCATCCTCATCTACCTCTAACTTAGTCTAATCTAGCATGTGTGGAGGATTAGGCTCATACTTCTAGAGCATACAAATATAAAACATGTCATGAACCCCGGATAGTTGGGGCGCAAGGCCAAACAATAAGCTGCCTCTCCAATTCGCTTTAGAATCTCAAAAGGTCCAATAAATCTAGGTGACAACTTACCATTATTCCCAAATCTCATCAAGTTCCGCCTCGATGAGATCTTAATGAAAACATGATCTCCCATCTGAAAAGACAAAGGTCTCCTCCTATGGTCAACATAGCACTTCTGACGACTCTGAACCGAAACCAATCTCTTACGAATAAACGCAACCTTCTACGTCGTTTCCCGAACCAATTTTGGACCTAACATAGATGCATCACCTACCTCGTCCAACACATAGGAGATCTACACGGTCGGCCGTACAAGGCCTCAAAAGGAGCCATACCAATACTCGCCCGAAAACTATTATTATAGGTAAATTCCACTAAAGACAAATACCTCTTCTATGATCCTTAAAATTGAGAACACAAGCCCGAAGCTTGTCCTCTAAAATCTGAATGGTGAGCTCGTACTGCTTGTCAGTCTAAGGATGATAGGCAGTGCTAAACATCAACTTACTGCCCAAAGCACCCTGTAGGCTCTACCATAATCGAGCCATAAAACGAGGATATCTATCTGTGACGATAGTCACTAGGACCCCATGAAGTCGAACTATGTCCCTAACAGATAGGTTGGCAAGATCATCTACTGAGTCACTCGTGCATATAGGTACAAAGTGTTCTAATTTGGTTAGTCGGTCGACTATTACCCATATGGCATCATTACCCTGTTAAGTCCTCGGAAGACCCACAATAAAATCCATCGCGACATATTCCCATTTCCACTAGGCTATAGGTGAGGGTTGTAACAAACCCGCTGGTCGTTGATGCTCGACCTTCACTTGTTGACAAGTAAGGCAGCTCGAAACAAACAAGGCTACATCTCTCTTTATCTCTCTCCACCAAAACTGTCAACTAAGGTCGTGATACATATTCGTGCCTGTCACGCCCCGAAAATTAACGTCATTTTATTAATTACCAATCCCTTATTATCATTTAATTCCATAACCTTAATAAATTATGGATAAATAAAGATAATGAATTACAAATCAAAAACCTATTGATTTCTCACAAATCAATCATCTCATGCATTACAGTACCACAAGCTATATATAAAAATATATATACATATTTATCAAATTGCCCTAAAGGCTTGCACATTTCAAGGTTAAGGGACTTGATCACACTTGGACCTTATTCTTGAAAACATTTATTTTTTTGTTTTTGTGAAATCCCAAA